TCTCATAGTTGTATAGGTTGCAGATCGGATGGTGTACCAGTCACTAGGACTGATTGTTTCCATTAATTTTGGTTTTCTTCTTTTGGGTATTTTTGTTGTTGTTGTTGTTGTTTGTTTGTTTTTTATTTTTAGGGAAAGAGGTAGGCAGTAGTTGGCAATCAGCACTAAGGATCAAAAACATCTACCATTCTTCTAGCCCCACGAATCAAGGGATGACAGAGAAAACAGACACCATTTGAAAGGACTTCAGAGAATAATAGTCTCAAGGCAAAGCCAGGTTTCCTTCATAACTTCCAGTAGCATTTATCAAGACGACTGCTATTAGCATTTTAAGTTCTGTGTTCTTTGTACTGAAACACTTCTTCTCTCCCCCCAAAAAAATCTTCAATCTCTGCTCAATTTGTGCCAGCCTGTTCTAAACAATAAACAAAACACACTGCTGTGGAGTCAGATTGGACTCATAGCGACTCCTCCTTGGGTTTCCGAGGCAGTATCACTATGGAAGTAGATTGCCCAACCTTCCTTCCGAGGAGTGGCTGATGGGTTTGAACCACCAGCCTTCTAGTTAGCAGTCAAATGCCTTAGGCACTATGCTACAGGACTCCTGTTCTAAACAACAGGGCAGTGAAAACATCTCCATGCATTTCAAGACATTTCCAGGGTAAGCAATAGCACCCATGGCCAACATTCTCTAATTTTAAGCAAAACGTGAAGGGAATGTCCAAAGAAAAGATTAAAAATAGGATGATATTGCAGTTGTGACTTAAAAGCCAGAGTTCAAATTATGACTAATTTCATATTGAAGGTTCTTCCATGATGATCAAAATCTTACCAAACATTCTTATCAGCAGCATTATATTAAATTCTGAACAAAATTTTGAAAACTTCATCTAGTGATTTCAGTAGCAATAAATAATTTTATCTATTTCAAGTGAAATGCACATACACCCAAACAGCCAACTTCAAGAAGAAAGTAAAATTAAAGGCAAAGTAATAAAAAATCTTTAGCCTCTGAGTTGATTCCTACTCTTAACGCTGTAAATCTCTACAGAAGCATATCGTCACATCTTTCTCCCACAGAGCACCTGGTGGGTCCTAACCCTTTGGTTAGCAGTTGAGCACTTAGCCAATGCAACACCAGGGCTCTTTCAATGCAATAATATCAAACCAAAACCAACTGCCATAGAGTCAATTCTGACTCCTAAAGGCCTTATAGGACAGAGCAGAACTGTCTGGGTTTCTAAGGCTGTAAATCTTTTCAGCAACAGCCTGACCCATCCTTCTCCTGTAGAGCAGCTAATAGGTTCACACCACTGCCATTTTTTGGTTAGCAGCTGAATGCCTTAGTCACTGTGCCACCAGAGCTTCTAAAGTAATAATTTGTTATTGTTGTTAGGTGCCATCGAGTCAGCTCCAACTCACAGTGAACCTTTGTACAAAAGAACCAAACACTGCCCAGTCCTCCACCATCCTCACAATGCTTGCTATACATGAGCCCATCACTGCATCACTGTGTCAATCCATCTCATTGAGGATCTTCCCCATTTTCGCTGACTCTCCACTTTACCAAGCATGATATCCTTATCTAAGGAATGGTCCCTTCTGACAACCTGACCAAAGTAGGCGAGATGAAGTCTGGCCATTCTTACTTCCAAGGAACCTTCTGGCTGTACTTCTTCCAGGACAGATTTGTTCATTCTTGTGGCAGTCCACGGTGTTTTCAGTGTTCTTCGCCAACACCATTATTCAAAAGCATCAACTTTTCTTCAGTCTTCCTTATTCATTATCCAGCTTTCACATGCATATGATGCAACTGAAAATGCCATGGACTTGGGTTAGGTGCACCTTAGTCCTCAAAGTAACATCTTTGTCCTTCAACACTTTAAAGATGTCTTTTGCTGCAGATTTGCCCAGTGCAATATGACTTCTGGTTTCTTGACTGTTGATTTCCATGGATGTTGACTGCAGATCCAAGTAAAATAAAATCCCTGACAACTTCAATCTTTTCTCCATTTATTGTGATGTTGCTTATTGGTCCAGTCATGAGGATTTTCGTTTTCTTTATGTTGAGATGTAATCCACACTGCAGACTGTAGTCTTAGATCTTCACCAGTAAGTGCTTGAAGTCATCTTCACTTTTCAGCGCAAGGTTCTATCATCTGCACAGGTTGTTAATGAGTCTTACTTCAAACCCAATGCCCCTTCTTCTTCATACAGTCCAGCTTCTCGGATTATGCACTTAGCAAACACACTGAATAAGTACGGTGAAAGGATACAACCCTGACACATACCCATCCTGATTTTAAACCACACAGTATCCCCTTGTTCTGTTCAAATGACAGCCCCCTTGTCTAACTGTTGTTGTTGTTGTTGTGAGCCACCGAGTCAGACCCGACTCACAGCGACCCCTCCTTGGTTTTCCGAGGCAGTATCACTACGGAAGTAGATTGCCCCATCTTCCTTCCAAGGAGTGGCTGGTGGGTTTGAACCGCCAGCCTTCTGGTTAGCAGTCAAGTGCCTTAGGCACTACGCTACCAGAACTCCCCCTTGTCTAACAGTAATATAATAATAATGTTGTTGTTGTTGTTGTTATGTGCCGTCGAGTCGGACCCGACTCATAGCGACCCCACCTTGGGTTTCCGAGGCAGTATCACTACGGAAGTAGATTGCCCCATCTTGCTTCTGATAATAATAATAGCTACTTTTAAATTACAGTAATTTAAAAAAGTTAAAATTTACATAATTTAATTTTAATAGAGATTTTAACATACTTGATGTATTTTAATACATTTAGTTTGCTTTATTTTGGTGAAGAATACCAGTTATACCATGGACTATCAGAAGAACGAACAAATCAGTCTTAGAAAAAGTACAGCCAGAATGCTCCTTAGATGTAAGGATAAGATGCCTTTGTCTAGTGTACTTCAGCCTTGTTATTAGGAGGCACAGTTCCTAGAGAAGGACATCATGCTTCGTAAAGCAGAGGGTCAATGAAAAGGAGGGAGATCCTCAACAAAATGGAAAGACACAGTGGCTGTACAAAAAGGATGTGTGGGAAGTGTCTTCTGAAACTCCTCTACATTGGGGGTAGGGGGACAGGGATCAATATAAACATTAACAACCCAAGGCTGGTTCCTATGAGACAGAGGTTAGAAAAGCCAACTATCTCCAACCATTTTTTACCAATTCTG